TTCATTACATATCATATGCAATACCGGAGTCTCAATGTACTGTATATAAGTGTTTGTATGACATAACTGTGCGCCGAAACACAACCTCTATATTTAGCCACAAGAATGCATTTCTCTAGTGATGAACACTCTCTCAAGACATTGAGATCTCATTCATTCATTCCTACGTTAACTTCAAACTAAGTTTAAGTTAACTAAAAACAATTGATTTAAAACATAGATAATAGGCTTATAAACCACAAGAGATTTTTGGCTAAAGCGGAAGGAATATTCCACAAGAGATAGCATTGAAAACATACCTAAAGTATATGTTTGAGCAGACATTAAATGTATCGTAAAAACACAGTTAACAAGCATTTCGTATGGAAAATATATCAGAATGAAATTATTTCTTAAAATATTTACTGAATTATAAAAATATACATAATCTCGGGCTCCATATATGCTGACTACTAGTCCGCCCACACCTTATACAGAGAGTGCAAAGGCATACAAAAATTCTTGCATAAGTTGTTCATATTTGCAGTGAATATTCTGTGCATAAAAACTTGTTTATCATATAATTCTCGCCATTAAATCATTCATTAAACAAATCTAGATATAAATAAACAGAACCATTGTTTAAATTTGTTTTTATACTAAACAAATTAGCAGTAATTGAAGTGATAATCAATTAATTAGTGACAACAAAACGATGGATAAACTGAAGATCAGTGTAACGGAAAGGGAGAGAAATTTCTGCGAAGACGAGTCGCACGCCATTAGCGACAATCACAGGGAAGTGGTTTTGGTCAACGACTCGGACGACCAGAAGCCGTTAGATAAGCCAAAACTCGGTGAACTCATCGGCAAAGTGGGCAAAGGTCTCAAAGTGGTTGAATTGGGAGGTCTTAAACTGGACAACGAGTCCATCGGTCTGATCGCCAACAGCGGGGCGGCCATCGAGTGCTTCCGTATCTATGACTGCACCGGCGTTACCGACGAATTGCTTAAATTAATTGGTATTTTTCACATTATTTTGTGTGTTATTTATATTAATTAATTGTTTCACAATAATTAAGGGCAAAGATTTACGAAATCGCTAAAACACGTGGAACTGTTGGGCTTCTCGAGTTCGTACACCAACGATGGACTAAAGGCATTGATTTTATCCATCGGTAACTTAGAGGCCATACACGTAGACCCGGCCATCACTTTGTTGGCCCAGATTCCCGGCACTGTTACCAATTTGAAACACGTTTGGTCAAAGATTGGTGGTGGTGAAAAGGATTTACTATCACAGTTTACGGTTAGTATCGAGCAATAGTTGGTCTTGATAAATTGTGTACATTTTTAATATTAACATACAGATTAAATACGCCCCATATTTACGCAATTTGGACATTACACTGTCGGGCACTCGAGCCGAGACACCAGAGTATGTGGAAATATTAGGAAATTTAGCCAATGTATGCCTGAACATATAAATATTTAAGTTATCATAATTAAAATTAATTAATTTACGCCAATCACTAGCTATTTAAGTTGTCTCTGACGGCTACCGGCGAGACACCGGTCGACCAGAAACTGGGACTCATTGGCGAAAAGTTTGGGCCCAATTTCAAAGAGCTAAACGTATGCGTTTGGTCGGGCGGTGACGCCCTGTTGGACGCGGTGGCAAAGTTCACAAACCTCGAGACACTCACCATCAATGGCCGGTCGCCGATGAGACACATCGACTTCAAGCTCAACACAAACCTCAAGCGTCTGTCGGCGTGCAAGAAGTTGCGACACCTGAGGCTCATACTCAAGAACCACAGCCCACAGCTCTACGACAACGTGGATCAGTATCTGCCGGCTGTGGAGATACTGGAGTTGGTTGGGATGGACTTCGGCGATAGCGCCACCAAAAGTGTGGCCAAATTGAAAAACGTTAGCTTTCTTGACATCGCCTCTCCTCTGCTGTCAGACGCCGGTAAGCCATGTGGTGTCATCGCCAGCACCGGGCGATTCCCCTCTCCCCTAATGTCTGTGTGTTATTGTATAACATAGAGACTAATCCCAGTATAAGACATGTATTTGCGGAGGAATTGGTGTTTGTTTGAGAAATTAGGAGTCGTTTCGTGAAAATAGTGGAGAAAAATAGGGAATACCTGTTGTGTCGGTCAATGAGTGGGAGTTATCCTTCAAAATGCAAAACCATTTATTAAAAAGTCAAACAAAAATATAGACTTATTCTGTGTATTGAGTGAAACGAAAATGAACTCTAAATACCACTCAATCTCGCAGTCTCTCTCTCTCTCTCTCTCTCTCTCTCTCTCTCTCTCT